GGAAATACCCACGGCTTTGCCAGACGGCAGGCATTACAGGAAGATAGGCTCATTATCTTCAGCACAGAATTCACCCTTACACGTCTACCCCTATAGTGTCGAATTCAACATAATCCTCTAGATTCCGTGGAATGCTCCCTAACTTGTACTCGTTTTGTGAAAAAATGCAGTTTCTGATGCACTACAATGTGATATATACAAGCCAAAAAACACATCTTACTTCAAAATGTGGAGATCGAATGAGATAAAACGGGTACAAAATTGAGAATTATCCATATAATCTAGAAGATTCCACTAAATTTGGTACCACAAGAGTGGACGTATAAGAAGATTTATAGTTGATGGAGGTGGTTGTAATTACCGAAACAGAGGTTTTTTTTCTTTCCGTAATTTGACAAAAATCAAAAAAATAATCACCAATTCCAAGATGCCACACCATAAAAATAAATAAATAAATAAATAAAGATTAATTAAATAAAGAAATGATGCTTATGAAAAAAAATATTTATTACAGCATATACTAAGCTGTCTTTCTCCCTTGAAAAAAAACACCTCCTTTTTTTCTCACCGCGTATTCCACTTTCCTTTCACTCCTCTCTGCTTGTTCAAACGCGCAGCTGCACAATCTATACATACAGATTTCTCTCTTTCTATATATCTACATATATATAAATTACATTTTTGTTTTTTCTCTCTCTACATTCATTCATTTTCTCTCTCTAATGTGTTTGAATCGAGACTCGCTCTGCATTCTTCACTAGAACATGGCGGCCACCACCACCACCACTCTCTTCCTCCTCTTCCCATTTCTCCTTATACTCGGCCAAACCCTAGCCCAAACACCCACGCCGACGGCTCTGGCTCCGGCGCCGGCCTCCGACGCCTGCAACGGAATATTCCTCACGTACACATACGCCACCGGGAAAATCGTGCCCCCAATCCTGAAGCGGGATCCGGCCCGGCAGGGCTACCGATTCGAGTCGTCCTTCACCGTACTGAACAACGATCTCGAGGAGCTGAAATCGTGGCGCGTGTTCGTCGGCTTCCAGCACGACGAGTACTTGGTCTCCGCTTCGAACGCCGTCCTCGCCGACGGGAATTCGATTCCGGGTAGCGTAGGTAACGGGTCGACTTTCGCCGGGTTCCCGAATACGGATCTCAAAACGGGTATCGAGACTGCCGGCGATTTGACCCAGATGAGCACCCGGGTTAAGCTCGTCGGAACCCAGTTCGGCGTGGGCCCACGCGCCGTCCCTTTGCCGAAGAATATTTCTCTAGTTAACGATGGCTGGGTTTGCCCTGAACTCACTATGCTAGGTCAGTTTCTATTTATCCCCAATTTTCTGATTTCAGATTTAAACTATTAATTTCAATTCCAATAAAAAAAAAAGAATAATTAAATAATTAAAATCCCTCTTTGCTAGGTTTTGTTTGATGATGATTAGTGAAAAAAATTGCAGATATTGAATTTAAATTGACTTATATGATGACTTGGTGTAATATCAAGAACAAGTCTATTTCATTTTCTTGTTTGGTTTTTTGTTAGAACCAATTAGCAAAAAAACTAAGATGTTTCAAAATGTTTTGCAGGCAATTCAACAATGCAGGTGTGTTGCACAAGAGACCCAAATTTCAAGACCAACGTAACCCTAGACGAAGGATTCTTACCTCGTCAAGAAGGCGATCTAACGATAATGTACGACGTATTAAGAACCTACGAATCCAACTACTGGGCCCAGGTTGTAATGGAGAACCACAACCCGCTCGGCCGCCTCGACAACTGGCAGCTCAGCTGGGATTGGATGGAAGAAGAGTTCATCTTCGCCATGAGAGGGGCCTACCCCTCCATAGTCGACACGACAGAATGCGTGTTCGGTAAACAAGGCCAGTTCTACCAGAGCCTCGATTTCTCCACCGCCTTGAACTGCGAGCGCAGGCCCACCATAATCGATCTCCCCTTGGCCAAAACCAACGACTCCAATTTAGGGATGATCCCGTTTTGCTGCAGGAACGGGACGATTTTGCCCCCCGAAATGGACCCCGGCAAATCGAAATCGGCTTTCCAAATCAACGTCTTTAAGATGCCGCCCAATCTGAACCGCTCCGATCTGACGCCGCCGCAGAACTGGGCGGTGAAAGGGCGTCTCAATCCGGATTACAAGTGCGGGCCGCCCGTCCGGGTCTCCCCTACCCAATTCCCCGACCCGAGTGGGCTTCTATCCGACTCCTCTGCTGTTGCCAGCTGGCAGGTGGTTTGTAACATCACGCACACATCGGGGGCCGCCCCGCGATGCTGCGTATCATTTTCGGCCTATTACAACGAATCGACTATTCCGTGTAAAACATGCGCTTGTGGTTGTCCGGCGACTAGCGGGCGGACATGCAGCGGCACAGCTCCGGCGATGCTAATCCCATCTCAAGCATTATTAGTCCCGTTCGATAACCGGACCGTTTTGACACGGGCTTGGGCGGAGCTCCACCACTTTCCGGTACCGAACCCTATCCCATGTGGCGATAACTGTGGAGTTAGTCTCAATTGGCATTTGTTCACCGATTATCGAGGCGGTTGGTCAGCAAGAATCACTATTTTCAATTGGGATGACGAAGCGTTCGTCGATTGGTTCACGGCAGTCCAGCTGGACAAGGCGGGACCCGGTTTCGAGAAGGTGTACTCGTTCAACGGGACTATGATGGAGAACAGTAACGGGGTGAACGATACCATTTTCATGCAGGGTTTGCCCGGTTTGAACTATTTGGTGGGTGAGGTAAACGGGTTGGATCCAAAGAAGGATCCGCGGGTACCGGGTAAGCAGCAGTCGGTTATATCGTTTACGAAGAAGTTGACGCCCGGGATTAATATTCCGGCGGGCGATGGGTTTCCGAAGAAGGTTTACTTCAACGGGGAGGAGTGCTCTTTGCCGACGGTTTTTCCGGCGAGCGGTGGTTGGAGATTCGGGTCTTCGTCGGTTTTGTCGGCGGTGATTTTGGCGGTTGTGGTGTTTTTCTTGGTGGAGCAATAGTGGATGGAAGAGGTGGGATTTGTATTTGTTCATTCTTTTTTGGGTTTATTTTGATGAAAACAGAGAGATTTTTTGGCTCTTGAAATCAGACTGTTGATTATGATTTTTAATTAGAGGAATATATATCAAAATGTTGGAGTTGTAAAATATACAAATGTTTAGTGTCACAATACTCTTTTCATAAAGTTTGATTCCTTTAAGTTCACATATTCATTTTTTATTTTTTCTTAACTTCATTTTTGGATATAAATTAGGGCTCGAATTTGGCACCGAATTTCCGAATTTCTGCCGATTCAAATATGGATATTATCAATTCTTTGACATTCTGACTTTTCCGTTCGTTTTCTTTTGGAACAAACTTGAATTAGTTCTTCACTTGCGAAAAAAATTTGTAAATTTTATCGAAATGCTATTCGATTCGTCCAATTTCTACCTCAAAATCGATTGGTAAATATATCTTTTACATAAGTAACATTTGAATAAAAAGATTAAAAATTTGACACAAGAATTTGAAATTCATCAGCCAAATATAAACAAAAGCTAAAAGCAGTTGAACTCCAAAAACAACTTTTTTACCACACAAAAGCTAAAACAAGAATATTTCATTCATACTAGAAATCACCTAAAAGCTAAAAGCAACCAAAAATTTCGCATGGTAATGCTTCGCATATCACGCGCTAGTATCATTCATGCACATATATCTTCTTCACCTTCAATCACAGTTCATCCAAGAAAACGAAAAACCGAAAAAAGAAAAAGAAAACGAAAAATTCCCAGCCCTTGATCTTTAACAGGTTAATTCCAGCTGTAAAAAAACTACAGCTATGTACAAAGTGCTTCGAAAAATCAAACTAGCTACAGCAAAACAGACCGCACTTTACACAGGAAGATTATCCAAATGGTAACCATCGAATCCAAACTCGTTTTCAACGGACCCCACGCCTTCTTGCTGCTTCAAAGTAAAGTAGAAAAAAGAAAGTATTAGAGAATTAATTACGTCGTTTATCTTAATCAAGATTAATAATTACTGACCTGTTTGAGAAATGCACTCATCAGATCTTCTTGGCCGAAGTGTTGTTCGTGAGGAAAGATTCCGTTTTGGAAGCCCATGTCGGGTAATCTTTCAGCCTTGATCCTTAACTGATTGTCGGATAAAGACGAGTTTATCTGCTGACCGATTTCCGAGTAAGCTGTCTTATTAATATTATTATTAATTACAGACAAACCCCTGTTTTGACCAACGCTCTTCTGATTAGAAGTAGTAAACCTTTGCTGAACCAAAACCGAAGGCGAAACATCGAGCCCTCCTTGTACGTTTTGCACACGCCAATCTTGTGGTCGGTTATTCTGATACAGATCGTTAAAAACATCATAGCTGGGAACAAACTCTCCGGAACCTTTCGATGAGAAGCTATTATTGTTATTATTATTGTTATTAATATTATTATTACTCCCAGCGAAATCTGTGGTTTGACTCGAAAAGTCAACAACGGTGGATGGCTGTGGAAGAGAAGCTATTATTCCGTTCCGGCCCAAGAAAGAAGTGGGAATATTCGCCTGCGACAAAACGGGTTGGCTTATTACAGATGACGAAGATGAAGAGGGGAGATCCGAGACGTTGATTTCGTTCAAGATTTGACTTCTTGATTGCGGTTGACCTTGACCTTGACCCGACATTTGCATGACATGGTTGTGCATGTTCATGTTGTTGAATGACTGTGCCGATTGGTGTAGAGAAGCCAGCTGCTTCGAGTCCATGTTTGTCGGGATTCCGTGGAGTAGGTTGACTTGCTTGATATGTTGTTGAGTTTGACTTTGACTTTGACTTTCGACGAATCTTGCCTTTGGGTTTTCGAAGCTGAAAATGTTTCTTTGGTCAACAAGTGGTAGAGGTATCGAGGATTTGGTGGGGCCCCTACCAAGTGCAGCGGCTTGGATTGTGGCTAGGCTTTGTGGCGGGAGTTGACCGGAGGCAGCTAGGGCTTGAAAGTCAACCCCGTTGAGTGAAGACATTTGTCCGAAGGGCATATCGGAAGGTCCCATAAAAGAGTTTGTTAGCCCGTTTTGGTGCTGTACACCACTGAGCCTTCTAAGATATAACCGATATTTCTGTGAAAAAAAAAACAGGTTCTTGAAATTAATATTCGAATTTAATATAATCGAACCACTAAAAAATCAAGAATTGTAATTTTCGAACCTGCAGATGGCTTGCGACGTTCTCTCTTGTAAGGCCCGGAACATTCATTAATTCGAGGATTTTCTTAGGAACGGCCTCTGCAAAAATTACGGAATTGGAAAATAACAATTACAAGTTTGTAGTAGCAAAATTTTAATCACGAAAAGAAACTAAAATCATTTCGAAATTTTCTAAAATAGCCCCACTTCCATTCTAAACACAGAGTGAATAGAAAACTACACACATTAACCAACTAAGCACAAAAAATTGTATTTATTACATAATTTCCAATTATACCCTTACTAACTCATTTTCCTTTTCTTGTTAGTGGAGGGTATTTTAGTCTAAAGAAAATCAAGTCACGTTTACTGAATTTCTTAATACGTGTGCAAAAGTGTTCAACGACTATTTTAATGGATTAGAGGGAGTATAAATAACGATTAACACATTTTTTTCCTTGAATAAGAGATGAACAAAGTTCAAGAAAGACGAAAAAAAACGAAGAGAGTAAGATGGAATGCTCACTGTCAATTCCGAGATGATTAACCGCGGTTACAAACTGCTGATGCAGCTCAACCGACCAAACAACTCTCGGTTTTTTCAAAGTCGAAGAATCGTCTCTTTCATCTCCTTCATCTTCTTCTTCCTTCCTTCTCTTGGAATTTTTCCAATTTCCTTCGTTCGCTGAAGAGGAATAATCTAAATCTTCATTATTGTTCGGTTTTTGCTGCCTGTCCAATTCATCGACACTCCCCGATTGTTCGTAATCTTTATCTTTAAACTCGTACTTCTTTTTTCTCACCACATGCTGCCATATGTTCTTCAATGCCTCCATTCGAACCGGTTTTATCAGATAATCACACGCACCATGTGTAACTCCCTTCATTACAACGCTTTTGCTATCATCCGCCGACATCACTTCAAAAATAAAAACGAAAAATCAAGAACCATTTCAAGAAATAGAGACGAACATATATGTATATATAAATTAAGTCGAAGAAAATAGTACTCACTGATAACCGGGAGATCCATTTCGAGCCCGATATGTTCTAGAAGCTTAAAACCGTCCATGTCGGGCATGTGTACATCACTTATTACAACATCGTATCCGTTTCTGTTGTCCCTGAGAAATTTCAATGCGAGTTCCGCTCGATTGCAAGTTGTGACTGAAGAAACCAAAAAAAAATGACGAAAAAATTAATTCGATAAATTACCTAACAAACGACTACGAAACGGTGTATTACAAGCCTAAATCAATGTCGAAGATTAAAACATCATGAGTTGTGGACAAGATCTAAAGTCAACCATCAAGTTTCCAACTTCAGATGTTCATAAGGCAAGATCAAAATGATTCTTCACAAACACTCCCCTCATTTAATTAATAATTCAAAAATTAAAATTTCCCAAATACTAAAAGGATGTAAGATCTATTTTTGCATACATAAAAATTAAATAAAAAAAACTCGAATTTTCTAATAATATAAATAAATAAATACAACATCAAGAAGATAAACACAAGCATATGAACAATTGAAAAAAAAAACAGAGAAATTAAAAGTACCTTCATACAAACAATTTTTGAGCATCTTTTCCAAGATCCTCAAACAAGTGGGGTCATCGTCTACGACGAGCACCCTGAGACCCGCCGGAAACATGTCGGAAACGCCGTCGCCGGACTTCAACGAAACATTCGAACTTGTGTAAGACATAGGTTTCACTCCAAGATCCATTTTTTATCTTCGAAATTCGACGAATTAACTTGATATTAGCATGAAAATGGAAGAACCCAGATGAGAAAAACCTCGAAAATCACATGTTTTGTAGCAGAAACTGTGTGCAGGGCTTGAAAATTCAGCAAACCAGCAAAAGATACGATTAAGCAGAGGTGTTTGTGAATATGTGATAATGGGACTTCAATTTCTTTTCTTTTTATTTATTTTAATATTTTGTCTTATAGGGGGATTTTAGATAGAAGAGGAAAAAAAGTGAAGAAGTGGAAGAAATTATTTGCTTTATATATATATATAATATATATATATATATGAGATTCAAGACATTGAATGTTGTATTTGTGTGCTTTTTATTCAACTTCTTTTTCTTCCTTTGTCAATTGTTTATTGGGGTGGTAATAAAAATAGCAGCACACAATTAATTATTATTATTATATTAAATTAGTAGCAACTCTCCCGTAAATACAGTAGAATCTCGATAAAATAATACCATATATATTAATAGTTTCGTTTAAATACTAAATTATTTTGGTCCCGACTTGGTAAAAATGAACTAAATTATTAGTTCGATATTTTAATATTTCATTAATTTAATAGAATTTAGATAGTTTTCGGCTGTATTAATTTATACATGTTTGAGTGTAATTAATTTTATAGAGTGATTAAAAAGGAAAAAATAAATTTACCCAAACTCGTGTCTTAATTTTGTAAAATTAGAAATTTTAGGAATAAACTACATATATAATCTAACAAAATAGAACATTTACTAATTAAATAATTATTTAGTCAATAAAAAATAAATTTAAATTATTTAGTTTGTATTGGGTGGATGGGGTGGGGTGAGGTTCCTTTGGTAGTGGATCACTCCCTCCCTCGAGTGTGGATCCAGCTCACGTTTGGGCTTAACGAACCCCACGCCAGCTATAAATCATTTTCTTTTCTTTTTTTAATTTATTATTTTCCTTTTATCTACGTGGAAATTGTTCTTTCGATTATTTTAATAATTTAAATGTTGAATTTAGTAATTTTAATGCTGAATTAGAAGATGGATTAGTGAAATTTACCTATACCATAGAGTAGAAGATTTTCTTTAAAAATTAATAAATTTTATTATTAATATTTTTTTATTTTTTTTATTTTATAAGCGCACTAAAATAATAAAGCGATTTTAAAATAATTAGAAAATTAAACTATTAAATGCGCAGTACAACTTGACTAGTACTTGTACACAATGATAGATGGATTATGCATTTCTTTCTCATTTATTGGACTAATAAAAGTCAGTACGGACCACAAAATCACTAAATTTTTATTTTGAAATAAAAAAAATTCAAACACAATTTAAAAAATTGAAATAAGAAAAAATCAAATTATCTTGAAATCAAATCGATTAAATATGATTAAATTTTAGGAAGAAAAAAAATATGTAATCAAAATTCAAACTAAAATACTCGTTCTTTAATTTATTGGGAAAATTTTAAGAAAAATAAGAATTAATTTGAAAATTATATAATTAATGCAATCTTACACCAAAAGACGAAATCCCTTACTTTCAGGGTTCCAATTGACTCGATATGTGTTTTGATAAAAGAATGTAAATCACGGTGACTCAACGGTCTGTTAATATATCGGACTTAGGTCTGGTGTCCATAAGGAACCAACTCTCGTTGGAGGTTGAAATTCTGATACATCGGATGTCAATCCTCGATTTTAGAACATTGCACCAACTTACGACTCTCGGAACCAATTGAGCTATAATTATGTTTAATTTTTATTAGACAATATTGTTTTAATGGAAGGTGACCTCAATTAGGGATCTCCCACATGTAAATTAAGTATATTTAATTGGCAATTGGTGTGTTAAGTAGTGGCTAATTAGGTGTTAAGCACATGGTGTAATTCATTAATCATAGTAGTGTTTGTTGCAAAAGATGTGTCAAAGTCTTGTTTGGCATGTGCATTTAATGCATACGCCTCTCTGGATTAATCAATCAATCCACCCACTTTCCCCAGATTGGGATTTGGGACTAGGATTACCCTCTCTTACTACTAGCACTATTAATTATTACGAAAAAAATAATAAAATTATTTATTTATTTTTTTAATTTAATACCGGAATCGAAATTATATTACGGGAATATATAAAAATATAAAATAGATTGAGGGTTGATATTATTTTCACGTTGACGACGTGTTAAGCATGACTTTACAGACTATTAATTCATATATTGATCATATATTGACTTTATATTTTCTTTAATATATATATAAATTTTAATCATTAATTAGGAATATGTAATTTTTGAAAAATTATAGGATTAATTACAAGAAAACCAAAAGAAACAACAGCACGTTACGGCGCCGTTCAAGGCTGGTTGCTACACCTTTACGGCAAAAACCAGTAACTTTTTTTATTTAACTTGACTCCAACAATTCAAAATATTTTCTAAGTAAATTTGTAATAATTTAAGTAATTAATTAAATAATGATATCACATTTTGTTATTATATGCTCTGGAAAAGCTCTCTGTAATTTCACTGTTTTTAATGGTTAAAAAGAACATGAGAGTGTCAACCTTTTGTTGTTTCCCATGACCAACTTATAAGAATAACCCGGTTTTCTCAAATTACGAAAATACCCCTATTGTTTAGGTAATTACAACCACCTCCCTCAATTATTAATTTTCTTACACATTTACCCTTATGTATAAATTTAACATAATCTTCTAAATTCCATGGAATGTTCTCTAATTTATACTCGTTTTGTGCAAAATGTAGTTTTTGATGCACTACAATCTGATATTTACAAGTCAATACATACATCTTATGATCATCTTGTTTCAAAATATGGTGCTTGAATAGAATAAAACGAGTACAAACTGAAGAATATTCCATATAATTACTAAATTTGACACTGTCATTTGAAATTAGTAAAAATAGTGGTAATGTAGAAAAAAATATTTAACCATAATGAGTAAAATTGTCATAGTGATCCACTTTAACTTTTTACTTAAATAAATATTTGTCTCATACTTTATGTACGTTAATTAAACATTTGTTTCCATCTTTTAACGAAAAAAAGAGAATTTAGGATATATATATATATTAATATAATTATTAAATTATGTTATTTGTTAGTTTTTTATACGAGGAATATATGCTTTTAAGGGGAAGAGAAATGTCACGCTCGGGATAACTTAATATTTGGAAAGGGTTTCATCCAATAATAAGATGACATGTGGATTTCATGGGAGTTCTTTTATTTAACTAGAAGTACGTGCTACTTTCTTTACTTGCTTTTTCCTCCCTGCAAATCTGTTCCCTTTTTGCAGTTTGCCCCTTGGAATTTGTGCCGTTTTTGCAGTTTGGCCCTTGAATGATTAGTGCCATCCCACTCCCACCCCCCACTGTTAATTACTAATCAGTCAGCTTTTAAACTCAAAACTCAAAGTAACCACATAATTAATTGAAATCATAAAACATATATAACTACAAGAAAATTGATGAAATTCGGTTTAAATTTTATTTAATTAATTAAAAATATATATAAAATTGAGTAAATTAAATAGTATTTAATTCCACTATATCCATGATTAATAAAAAAATAAAAAAAAACCAAAAATGGAAAATATTCCTAAGTGGTAGTTATTGGAAAATAAAGGGCTTCAACTGTTTCTTATTTTTGTGAAAGAATAAAGTTTGTCTACATTTTACCTACAAAAAAAATTTACAAGAATACGAATTTTATGTGACAAACTGAACCTAAAAAACACCAACAAATGAAGTCGAACTCGAAACTGCAAGCACTCTCTTATTCCACCGACCAGGCCACTCTTACGAACAATGTCACACATATTTATATTTTAATAAGAAGTATATTTACATATATCCATTTTTTTTAGTGACAAAGACAAGAAATTAATAGAGTTTGAGCTTCAAGCATCTTCTGAAAGTGAAAGCACAAAGCATCCAAATAAGATAACCACTTCAGTTAAATATATTCTTTATTTATTTTTCTTCGAATGTGGTTTATTTTTTAGAACAAGAAAGTGTGGTGTCAACTGTTCTGATAATTTTTAGGTTGACCAAGTTACAAATAATTAGTCCAGTGTGATTTATATTTCTCATCGGTTTTCGATAGTTCGAGCTGGTCTAGTTCCCTTGTCTATAATTTAAAAAATATTTATTTGCCAAAATAATAATAATAATAAGAATAATAATAATAATAATTTAGTTAATGAGAGTTGAAAATAGAGATGTAGGGGAGGGTATTGATGCAAGTTGAAAGTATAATGAGATAAAATATAGGGCCCACACTATTGGAAAAAGAACGTGGGCCCCACGCTCGGTACGGATTTTAAATGGGCTGGGAAAGTACTTGGGTTGGGCCCAACCAATTGTTACCTTATTAGTGGGGCCCACTTCTATGTATCGTACATTGACCTCTTTTTGCAACTTGCAATTGTCTTTATCATTTCACAATTATCTTTTCTTTTTTCTTTTTCTTCAATTTGTTCTTTTAATCATATTTTAGAAAAATTAAATGAAGTTAGTATGTGTACACCTTTGTGACATTTCTTGAATTATGTAATACCATTCTTGATTTTGAGGTTTCTCATGTAAGAAGTGAATTTGTTGACTTTTGTCACTTGGTTTTATACTAGTAAGTAATTATTTAGTTAGTAAAATATTTAATTGTATTAGGTTTAGAATTAATATATTTAAAATATGATATTATACGTGACTTATCCATAAAATAATTATCTTTAACAATAACTATTTTCGGATGTACCTTGTGTACAAAAGGTTGCTCAA